TTTATAGCGGATCATAACCGGTCAGTGAACGTCTTACTCAGGTTAAATTATCCAACACGTAGCTGCATCTTCATGTAAATACAAAAGAGCATTATTAGCTGGCTGTGTAACATAAAGTCACGTTTCAAAGGCACACTTCTTTCACTGCAGCAAAATAATTGTTTGTGTTTTTGTTTTCAACCGTTGAACAATTTTCAATGTGACTAGCGGGTGAAGATTGCTGGATCACCATCATCATCATCACGGCAAGCAGAGCCACTGTGAGCTGCAGCAGTTAAATGAAAACAAACGATTTCACTCATTCCGTGCTGCGGTGTCTCTCCTAAGGCCGTGACTTATGACGCATTCACAGATTGAGCCAGTCGGGAGGAACAAAGGGAGGTTTCAGGCAGAGATCAAAGCGAGCAGGAGCTATAATGAAAAGTCAGAGTGATCATCGCTCTCACAACAGGATCACAACAACCTGCTTTCTGTTTTATTCGCCTCACACTTTCTAATGCACATTTGAAGCCATTAAAACGTAAGCTTCCAAACTGGTTGATACAAGTCTGTCAGTGTGCCAGTGTGTGTCTGTCAGTGTGCTGTTTATGTAAAGAGACACGCTGCTGCTGAAGGTGCTTCTTCATGATCGATATCAGGAAAAAGAGCAAATAAACTGCAGTCACATCTGTTATTTCTGTACGTGCCTCCCAGTGTGTTTGTGGTGGGTGGGTGGATGGATGGCTGAGGCGGGCTGAGAGGCAGTCTGCCTCTGGCCAACATGTTGCACCACTGTGAACTGCGACAGACACAGTGGTGGTGTAACCCATTTAGATACAGCCCTGCAGGGACACACAGACTCGGGCTGTCTCCTTAACAAGGCCAGCAAATAGGACATTCATCATCCATCGTCTTTCTGTTTGACACAATCGGGTAACAATACTGTCGGGGCTCTTTTCTCAGTTGTTCTTCTCTTTACACATTCACTCCCCCATATAATGTGTAAACACTAATATTTTGTCTTTCCTATATAATCATCTTGTTTAATCCTTAAATATTTCCTTTTTTTGTCTCTCACTGCTTTTCTCTGATCCTTTTTGTGATTTCACTCCCCTTAAAGTATGTTTTCTCATCTTACGTTTTGCACCAGTTTTACACCCGTCACAGAAGCCTTAAGCCAAAGGTGATGTCTTTAAATTGTTTGTGTTGTCCGACCAACAGTCAAAAACCTTAACGTATTCAGTCTACTGTCACATAATACAGGGCAAGCAGCAAATCCTCACGATTGAGACACTACAACCAGAGAATATTGGTCGTTTTTGATTAAACAATTACTGATATGATCATCAAAATAGTTCTGTCGACCAGATAATAGATCATCAGACAAATCGTTTCAGATATATCAAAAGCAAAAGTAATTAATGCAGAAAATGTCCACTGTAAGTGTTATTATTATACATAATATTACAGGATTATTAGAAATATGTAAACATATTAAACTGTTGTAGTTGAACTATTAAAGACTGTTGGGTAGTTTAATTTACAACAATGCACCACATTTCATTAACTCATCATATATTAAGGACGTGAAATCTTGATTGAAATACTCAACAAACACATCAACTCACAAATGCACATCAATACACTCCACTTAAACAAAATCAGCAATGTCAGCAATGAACGGCAGGTCAAGCAACACTGAAAGCAACTCCACTACACACACACACGCGCACACGCGCACGCACACACACACACACACACACACACACACACACACACACACACACACACACACAGCCTGTGAATGCTGACACAGACAAACACACGCGTACATGCAGTCTTCTCACTCTGGTGCTGCTGCTTGCTTGTTGCTCTCCAATCATGCATCAGGACCAAAGACAGCCGACCAATCACATGGCAGCTCTATACTCATAACCACGGCAACCACCTCCTGCCCAGCATAACTTTGGGCAAACGGTCGGAGCTTCACAACAAACACCTGCAGCTGGATTACTACTGGATGCACCCAATGAGTCCCTGCTGAACTTCAGCCAGAGAGTTAGTGTTGAATCTCTCTTACTGAATTAAGTGCCGTTTTGTTTGACTCATAATCGCAGATTAAAGCCAACATGGACCACAATAGCCTGACAGCAGCCGCGAATATGAAATCTATAACACTTTCTGACGTCCCTGAGGAAATGCATATTTGAAATAATAAGTATAATTGTGCAAAGATATTCAGAGTTTGGTGGGAGAACATTATCTGAAAGTAAAAGCATGATACACATACTTAATCACAAAAGAGCCATTTTCATTCCAGTGAGTCAAATGTTTAGTTTAATAGTTTTTAAGTAAAGCAAAATGCATTTCAAACTATAATGTGGGTACTCCAAATAAGTATGAATGAGTATTTTAAGTCTCAAGCTGTGACAGACTTCAGGTTATTTGTTATCATTCGTTCAGGCGTGAGAGCCGCGAGCCAAGAAATGTTAATCTGAGAGTTATGGAAAGATGACGATGATATTGGATTCAGCCCAATGTGAAGTAATTCAATTGTATCTGCATTAATAAAAAGTACGGCTGTGATGTTTTATATTTGTTATTGTCAAGAAATGCCATTGGATTGAACTTACTAACAAGTATTGCCTGTACAGCTAAAGATCAATTAATCAAAAAAATCATTAAAAAACACACAGTGTCCAGTTGTCTTAGGAAATTACATAAAGAAAATGTACTTTATGTTTGTGAGAAGTTTTCTTTAAATATTTTCATCCTCAGTAGAAACCAATGGGCTCTGTTCTGAGACAGATAGGGGAGGGACGTCGGAGAATACTGAGAGATGGCCTTTATATACAATGTGTGGCATTTTAAACGAAGATAACCACAAGAATAAAGCCATAACATGACAGAAATATAGAGTTTATGTGGGGGTTTAATGTGGAGCAGACGTCACAGCCATTTAAATGCACATCAGCAGGAATATGAATAGAAATATTCTATAGACCACTAATGTAAACATCAGATCACCAACAATCAACAAACAAACAATCAGAGTAAAGCACATATTGTTGTAAACACAGTGATTCTTGCAAAGCAGGGTTGAAATGAGGTTTCCCTGTGTTTACGTTACGTGAACACTCCTGTTTGAAGCAGCAGTGAGGAAGAGGAGGAGGGGGGGGGGGGGGGTAGTATTAACACAACAACAGGGAAAAGGCCCGGTGATGGTTGCCATGGTGAATATGGTCCCCTGTCGAGTGCTAGCCTCCCCCTTCCTCCCCCTCCTCTCCTTCCTCCCCCTCCTCTCTCCTCTCTGCTGCACCTCTCTCTACTAAATCTCTCTACCACTCTAACGGACTTCCTTGTACTTTCCACTATATCTACTGCTTCTTCCTAACCTCTCCCTCCCCCTGATTCTTCTTATTCCTTCCTTATTTCACTCTCCCCTCCCCCGTCCTTTCCTTCAGGCCCCCCTACAGGCTCCACACTGGCCGCTGGACGCTGCACAGAACAAGGCGACCTTCAGCGCACGATGGCAGGATGACTGGGCAACACCTGGACACAAGCAACGAGGCACAACACCACCACAGCACATGGGTAGTGATGTGATATAACACCGTCATCATCTCACTCCTGGATGACAACAATCATCATGATCTGCTGCTCACTCTGCATACAGAGCACATAGTGTACTCATAATGATATGTTTACAGCAAAGCTACTGGAAATGTGTAAGTATGTATTCTCGTGCTACTGTAACCATACTTTACATACAGTAAATCCTGATACACTACTTTTGTTGTTAACATTACAAAACAATTAAAAGGCATATTTACTCCTGAATACTTCCCATTGGGCGGCTGAACGATAGATAACCGATTGATTTGTCTTCACAGTTCCAGTTTCTCCAGTGAGGATTTGCAGTTTTCTCAGTGTTTCATATCATTTTAAACTGAATATATTTGTTGTTCTCTGTTGTTCCATTAAAACAAGATATTATAACAAATACAGATAGTAAAGCCCCCTGAGGCACATTTGTGATTTGTAATATTAGGCTGTATGAATAAAATAAATGGACTTGATTTGACTAGAAGAAGTCATCTTTGTTCCAATTGATGGTTCACAAATGCTTTCCTGCAATATGTATTTCAGTAGGCCTACAGCATTTAATCAGAGTACATGTAGCAAAGCCAAGGACTGCTAATTGCTCGTCAACACAACAGAAATTAGGTGGGCTTTCACGACGCCAACATAGCATCCTATCTACACACACTCACCCAACGAAGCAAAACTACAAAAATACATTATGTCATTCAATATCAATCACAAAAGGAAGAGACGTATCGACAAACCAAACGTATCAAAACCTTAAGAAAACACATAAAATGAACAAACAACAGATTGTCCTAGAAGCCAAAAATGAAAAATAATCACTAATTGTAACTCTAGTTTTATGAGTTTAATAGGCCTATTTTTTGGAACACCCACATATAGCAGCTGGATGTAGTAACCAGTGTAAATACTACAGTGATACTACAGGAGTACTCCTCCGTTAACTCTGTAGTGTAGTGCCATCAGACACAGCCTTACATCACCCATTGGATGGTTGAGGGAGCGTCTTCTCACCGTCAGACCCCCTTGGAAACTGTTGATATTACAACACAACAGCGTGATTAACTCGTCTCATACATAGTGAAAACATGCATATTTCCTATGAGGCTCTTGGCCGTGTGACTTTATTTATTGTCTTTTACTCACACTTCATCTTCCGTTGAAATAATGGGCTTGAATAACGCACTAATTTGCAGTTTGCACATCCAATTCACCATTCAATCAGCACAAAGACACACATGATCTGTTCTAGTGTTACTTCATCTGGCACTGCACAAATCAGGCACCTGCAGAAACAACCAGCCTACAAGTTTGTGTGGACCCGGTAAACCGGAACGAACAACGGTATCAGCAGTACTTTAGGTCTGGATGTTTTTTTTTTTTGTGGGGGGGGGTGCACAGGTGACGCTCACCTGTCAGGCTGTCGTAGCACTCGATCTCGGTGCTCTCCACGTTTCTCCGCTGCTCCTCGGTCAGCTTGCCCGCGGCTTGGTTCAGCAGGTTGACCTCGGAGCCCGTCGTCCCGTCGGCCACATGCACCCCTTTGAGTTGCAGCAGCGCCCGGTGGTACTTGCCGATCGCCTCCCGGAATTTCTTCTCCTTGTAGCAGCGGTGACCCTCCACCTTGAAGTCGATGGCTTTCTGGATCTTCGCCTCCATCTCCATTTCAGCCGAGCCGGCTCCTCCTCCGTCTCCTCCGGCTGCCGCTGCCAGGCTCCGGCCGCCTGTTTCCGGGTAGCTTTTAAGGCTCTTTATCGGGTGCTGTTTGGCTTCCATGGCTCTTAGGGAAAGCGCCGGGAACGGGCCATGGTGCTCGGGCACGAAGGTGTGTTTTGTTGGGGAAGACCGGAGCAGCGTGCTGTGCATACAGGATGCAGCATGTAGCGGCAAAGGCACCGAAGACACGACGAGCCTCGAAAAACAGCCGAGGAAACTGTTTCAGAAACGTCTCCGCTTTGTTTGCTTGTGCTTGAAGAACAGCCTTGATATAAAATAAGTTCAATTATTGTTGCGGTTAAAAAGAGATGCGAAGGCTAAGAACAGCTGGCAGAAACATGCTGACATTTCCCAGCAGAAAAAAAAACCTGATTCCTTGTTCTGGTCCTCTCGCGGAAGGATGCTCGAGTGGATATCTATGGTAGCAACCTCCGAGGCACGCGCAGCTTCAGCACCACAAACAGCGCACACACAACTCGTGCCGAACAGCATTGTGGGTAAAAAAGAAAAAAAGAAAAGAGAAGTCGTGCGGCGTTGCTGCAGTCCAGATTTTACATGGCAAAAACGGAGGAAACGACCGACTCGATCGATTATTTGAAAAACACAACTGCACTTTGAACTGGAAAAAAACAAGTATAATACAATAATACATAATGTCCATAAATAATAGCGTGCATAATGTCAGTCATTGGAACATTAGTCTAATGCTGCGTCCTATCGACAACATTCACAGTGACACATCTCCCATATTTACAACAGTTAAATGATTCATTATAGTCTTTGTGGCACCATATTGCACATTACGTCGTTTGAAAGAGGCCACCCTTTATAATAAGAAACAAAATCACGCATGCTGACACAGATTAATTCAGCCTTTACTTCAATTCACATCCCTTCTGTAGAAATCAGATTATGGCCAAACAGGAGCACTTGATGACTTCAGCTGATAAGGTTTTCAAGGAGATGGAGGCGGACAGCAGGAGGCTTCAGGGACCAGAGGAGGGAGAGAGCGACCTCAAGGGGACAGAGTCATAATTACACTTATTATTTCTGATCTGATGTGGGACTAACCTGCAGCCCACCAGCCAATCATGTGATCTATGTGCAAATTATACATTCTTCTCTGCTAAATTGTGTGATCATAGCAAGGTTGTTACCTTATTTCCTCTACATTTATAAGCATCCTTGCCTCTCCGAGGTGTGATTCCGCTGGTGCGCGAAGAGGAAATCCTCACATGGGATTAACTCAGTTCAGGAGCAGGCTATCCTCTCAGTGAGTCATGTAAAACATCTGTAGTTTCACATCTATATCGACTCCCTGGTTCATGGATCGGGGACCCGCATATCAGTGTATCAGCTCCTCCTGGGTGAACAGTCATTTCGACTCCAACAAGCATCTAGATTAACATTTATAAATAATGTATTAGCCTACAGCGAAACTTAAGACTCATGCAGGTGTTACGGTGCAACGAAACACTGGCATAAGCACTTCTGCCATTCTCTAAATGCTGCGATGACTAGTGATGGGAGCTGGGTCCATATCAAGGTGAACACTGCTATCTGCATGGTGTAGAGATGGCACTGTTGGCATAGGTTTTCTTAGTTTTCCTACATTAAACATGTTCCAATTCTGAAACGCTTAACTGTCCCTGTAAAACGTGTAAATTAATATTCAACACATACAAATTACATTAGTTTACAACATTAAATAAGCCTACACAACGCATACACACTTAACAATCCATCCCACTCAACCCAAACAAACACAAGCACATTCTCAAGTGGCATTAGAGACGTACTGTACAACCCCTGTGGCCCCTGGATGCCAAGCGTGTGTTCCCGGCTGCAGCTGCACAGAGTAAAGAGGCATCCCCCGATGAAACATCATTAACATATCACGCTGACAGTTCAGGCGAAATTATGCAGCAGTAAGCTCATTGTGAGAGGAGTGGGAGTTTAATGGGTTTATTGATAAATGATCATCTGAATGTTCCCAGGAGAATATAAATATCGACTTTGCCGTCATGTCGATACGTACAAGAGAACAATATGTGACAACGACATTGTCTCCTGTAGAGAGAGAAATGAAGAGGGAAGCTGTTTGGACCCTTTTCCTCTTTTAATTATTTTCCAAGCATATTTTGCTGAAATTCAGAACTTTTTTTCTTCAATATCCTTTAAAAAAACAAAAACAAATAACAGTTCACGGTGCGTTTGAATCTACCTTGTTTTTTTAAAAACTATAAAAATTCCTTAATGTGATTTTAAACATTTCAAATATTTACAGTCTAACAAAGTTCTGGTGTGAAGAAAGAAACATAGTACACAGGTGATGATGACCCATGCTGGGTGGAGGTGAACTACCTACCGAGACCTCAAGTGGCTTCCTGACACCAAACCCGATGGCATCTCGGAGTTTCTTTACATGGTACAAGAATGTCCACATAGAAAAATATGCAGCATAACTGGTGCTGTGCCGTGTGAAATCAAGTCTAACAAATCTATACATTGCATTTCAAAATAAACAATATTCTACTGAGCCGACCTTCAAGTAGAAAACGTTCAGTATGATGGTAGCAAGGTGGACATGGGCCTCTGGAGTTCAGAGGCGAGACGTTCTACTCCACAAAGCGCAGAAGAAGAAGAAGAGGTGCAGTGTTTCTTCTTGATTCAAGTGTTTAGAGACCATTTGAATTTACTTTCTCACTCACAAGTTATGAAGCTTTCATCAACACTTTTTCTACTTTCCAAACACGGCGGAGGAGGTCATTTTGAGGTGTTGAAGGTAAAATAAATGTACCATCACCTCATGGCTAGTCTTCCATCTGACCGCCGTCCTGCGTGTTCATTTAAAGAATAAACTTCACTTGCCTGAGGTGTGTACCTTTGTTACGCGAGAAACAACTAATTTTCAGGCAAATATCAACAAAATGACCAACTAATTCACCGTGGGGGAATATTTTCAACTACACAGACTGTATTCATTCAGGTGGACTCTCAAAAAAAGGGAAGATTTAGTCAGCAGCATCCTTATATGTGGAGTTAACGGGTAAAATAAAAACCACCATTATAGCAGCTTGGTTGACGTCATGCCTTAATCTCGCAAATATAGTTAAATACATATTTTCAAAAACTATAAAAGGCAGATATGATTGAGAACATTTAGTCCTCAAATTAAAAGCTTGGACACTAAACAAAGTTGTTTTCCTATGGCAGCATGACTAAAATGTAAAAGTATCTTTATCTAAGAGCAAACCTAAAGCCAAAAAGCAGCTATAAACCGACCATAAACACAAAAAACACTCCGATCTGCAGTCCTGCACGTCGCTAGGATGAGTGCAGAAAAGGGAGGGATACAAATTCTATAAAGGACATATAGAAAGAGTCTCAATCATTTTGTAGAGATGTATGTGTTAGGTTCTCTTGCTGCCCAGCCTCTTAAAAACACTAATAGCCATAATGTCCATCTGGGCACCCAGAGACTCTCCTCCATCTCCTCCGTCTCCTCCTCCTCCTCCTCCAGCCCCGGTGCTGCTGCTGACTTTGGAACTTGCTAAGGTGAGTCCCTCCTGGGCTTTGGGCCTGGTGCTGGTCACCCTGTTGTCCTGCGTGTCAGCAGGTGTGGGTGACACCGCGGCGCTCAGGTGTGTGGCAGGGAGCTTGCCCAGTCTCTGAAGAACACTAACCTTGGCAGGGGGGAGGCCATTAGGGGAGGAAGAGGAGGGAGTGTCAGACGGAGGTAGTTTGAATTTGCCTCCCAAGCGCCGCAGGGTGGTCGGGGCCGGTTTTGTGGCCAGTTTTGTGGCTGGCTCTTTCTTCTGGAAGACAGGGGCCCCTCTCTTGAGGACGCCAGCATACTGGAGGACGGAGCCTTCTCCATCACTGTCGTCCACGTCATCTACATCGATGGTACTAGACATTTTGCCTGGCTGCGGCTTGTCTTCCTCTTCATCCCCTCTGCCAAGACGACTGAACACACCGGTGGGCTGACAAACATGAGCATTATGAGCACATCCAATCCAATCCAATCCAATACAAAGGGAGCTATTGCAATATACCGACAGGCCTCACCTTGTTATTGCTTGTTGTCGTGTCTGCCTTCGATTCAGCTCCAAGTCTTGCAAACACAGAGGTGCGGTTCATTCCTTTTCAAGGAGTAGAGCAAAACAAATGTGACTGTGACCGGTTTGGTTTATGTTTGATAAATCATTTATAGCGATGGAAAAATAATCCACAGGATCCTTTTGAATATATTTGAAGGTAGAAGAAAATCTTGCATTATTTTGAAGACACAACTGCTGTGACTGTTGCAGAGTGCAAGTCTCTTATTCCCTTTTATCCCTAAATTAAGGCATATATTTAGGTTTTTTAATGCTGTCAAAACTGCTTACAAAGACTCCTTTCCCATTGCGAGTAGATGAGTATGTCTTTCTGTTTTGTTTTATTCTGGTGTGCCATGTTCTATATCACTAAAAAGTAGAAAACAGCATGAAGGCCAGAGTAAAAACGTGGTGGTTACTTCCTCTTTTGTATCCGTTACTTATTCAGTCTCCCTTCAAACTCGGAGCCAACTATCTTGGAACGATGTTTGAGCGCAGCTCGGACAAAGAGGGACGGAATTTGTGGCAAAGATGACAAACAAAGCGCCGGAGAAGGAGCAGAAATGAATGCGTCCACCCGGGTGTCATGTTTAGAAACCTCTAACCAGAGGAACTTATAGTTTTGTGACTCGGGTCAGAAATGCAAATGTGCTTTGCTGTACGATTTCAGTTTTGCTAATTACCTCGGAGGTATCTAATGACAGGATTGCATTTAAGAGAAAAAGCCAACTTTACAAGAGCATAGAGGTTTTCTTTCATGAAATAAATACTCATAATATTGAGCAGTTGACAGCATCACAGCTCTTTTCACAGACAAAGACCATAGTCAAAGATTTTTGGTTGGGTAAAATGAAGGTGAAAACGAGCAGTTTGACGGGGGGGGGGGGATACTTGTTGATGCAGTGGAAAGACAAGGGATTAAATCGTGACAGAAATGAATGAAGGTCAAACAGGCAAACAATCAGCCCCGAGTCACCCGTCTCAGTTTTAGTATGAAAGAAGTCCATGAAAACGTTTAGTACTGATTAGCTGTGGTGAGCAACGGCATTATTGGGGCGATTTGTCGTCAAGGCCACTGGGTCAGGCCTACCTTTCTTGGCCTGCTGGGCCAGGATGCGGCGTGTACGAGGTGTGGAGCCTTTGGGCATGTTGACGATGTACTTGCCTTCCATCTCAGCTGTCACGCGTCGGCGCTTCACTGCTGGCAGACTGTTCCCCTCGTCAGCTGGCTGACTTACAACTGACAAACAAAGTGGCGGGTACACGAGGATAAGCAAAGGTAAAGAATAAGAGAGGACTCCAGAGGGTGGGAAATAAGGGATGCATGGGGTAAAAGACGCGCTCCATGACATCTACCTGCTTTGCCGCTCTTGTTTGCTTGCATGTTGGACACTGTGACCGAGAGGCGGTTGTCAGGTCGACGGGCTGGAGTGGCCGGCGGGGAGTCACTGCTCAAAGCGTTGGCAATCATACGAGTGGCAGCTGAGAGAAAGCAGAAACATTTTCAAATACTTGTGATCTTGCTTGCTTTCTAAAAAGGGTCTCTTCCTGTTCTGACCCCAAGACGAGATCAGAGGACAGCTGAGCTTCAAAGTTAGACATGCCAAAACTAAAAGTGTGCATAAAAGAACATGTTGTGAAGAACTGAAGTAAGTCTTGTACAACCTGGCAACCGAGGCTGACAAACTAAGCGAAGCAGTTTGTTCTTGTGACATTAGATTACTCTGATTTACTTGATCTCCTCATGGAAACAATTACCCTTTATTATGTCCTATTACTTGACATACCAATAACAAATACTGCCAGTAAAAACTGTTTTGTACAGTTAGCTATTCCTCAAAATAGAAACTCTCTCTTTACCTCCGCCCAATCAGTTAGCGACCGCAGTGACCGACAGAGCCAGTGCATTAACGCTGAATATCATCCGTCTCTCGTATGCGCGCGAGAAACGGATGATCTTATGATCGGATGATGTTACACATTGGTTAAAATGAGTAAAAACAATTCCTATCCAGGTTTAAATGAAAGAAAAGGCATCATTCACATTCTGTTGTGATCTTAAACTCAAATTTGAAAATAAATCCCAAGACTTTATGACAATAAAAAACAGTTTCAATGATGCAGAAGATTTAAATGGAGATACTTACGAGTATTGGCAGTTCTTCTGAGCTCAGCTTTAACACTGGTCTGGCCTGAGGAGATGGCTTCTGTGGCCATTTTGCACATGTCCTGAAGAAGGGATACACATTACAGAGGTTATGTAAACGCACAGTCTACTGCAGTGGCTTTCACATCCATTCTCCATGACTGCATTCACAATAATACTGGATATATTCCAGAGGTATTTACATGCCTGCACCAGCAAAAGACAAAACACCCTCTTTTTCAACATTTCCGTACTTCAGAACGTGAAACAGTCGAGTCTGATCTCACCTGCCTGTACACCTGCTTAGCATGTTTAAGAATGGAAATGATATCGCCGATGACCGTGATGCCGAGGTCCATCATGATGTCTTTACTGAGGTCCATCAGCATGTTCTTGTGAATTCTGCAGACATGAATAATCAGATAATACTGTATGTACTTGGTGTGGATCAAAGAAAAACAATATGCATTGTTACCCATTAGTTCAAAGCAACCTATTGCGAACAAGAGTTGCAAACATTAAGTCCCATGGACTAATAGATCAATTATTCACTGGACAGTTTTAATTCCATGAAAGCTGTCATAATCACCACATGAATCAATAAATAAAAATGTCACATTATCACAAAATGCTCTGGCAGTACCTACTGGATTATCACCAGAAAATAAAGAAAGAAAAGTAAGAAACTGCTCCGCTTCTAAGCAGGACAGTTTATTGTGTTTCAGCTCAGTTACGGTCTAATGTGACGGCGCAAAGGAAATTCATATGATCAAGCACAACACAGAATGACTTAAGAGTACTATTAAAAGCCTATTATTAAAAAGAAGCATCAGGTTACCTGTTATCCACAAAGGAGACTGCATAAGTGACTGCGAGGCCGGCTGGAATCCCAGCGTCCTTAAAAAACTGAATCCACTCCGAGGTGGCTTAAGAAAAAAATAACAGACCATTAACAATCGTACAACATAAAGGATTTCACGGACAATCCGTGTTAATAATTTCACTTATAATTAATAACTCTTATGGAGCAGTCTGCAACTAATGATCACTTTGTTTTGACATTAACCGATTCATTGCGTACATAGTGTCAGAAAATGTCCATCACAATCCACACCTACGGTTTCATCTTCAGTACTTCTTTAGTCTGACCAACAGTCCAAAACTATTTTATTAAATATTATATTAAACAGTCAAAAGCAGAAATTGTACATATGTGAGAAGCTGAAACCAGTATATGTCCACATTTCTGTTTTAATTGTAACATCCACTGATTCATGATCTAAATTGTTAATGAACTTTCTAATGACCATCTACCAAGTTAATGGTTTCTGCAGTACTTGTGTCCATAAAGACCTCTTCAAAGTTAATACCATCCACTTATGCTGTTGGTTCTCAGTAATAATGCAGACTACAGTGGGAGCAGGGCCTGCCAGAGAGCAGCATACTGAGGTCTAATGATGACCATAGTCAGCTGGAGGCTATTTATAACACCAATAATGAAGCGTCCAGTAGTTGGAGTAACAGAGTGAACGGTGGTTAACAGCTGCCAGGACAATGGCTCTGTCCAACATGCTTAGACTGTAAACTCATAGCTACACAGAGACGAAGCTCACACGGTGGCTACAACCTCATGTTGCACTTAGGCGCCTGACAAGACAGAACCACGAATCAAAGCCAAACATTGTTTATTGAAATGTATGAACTCATATACAGAAGATTCAGAGCCGGTTAGCTCACGTTAGCATAAGACGACGACCAAGCTAACTTAACCCGCACACAGAACAAAGGACAAGAATTCAGCGCACAACTCTCCGTTGACGCCTGTTAAAATAAATGAAAGTGAAATCACAGGTTCACGGGAACAATTCAAGGCCCTAAATAAGAAGCATTTGTGTTAGCATTCACCATTAGCATAGTCATAGCGGTAGCGTTAGCTATGAATTAAAAGGCGCTACCGGCCATTCTCCGGCATCCAATGCGAACAAGCACGGCTGTAAAAGCTCTGGACACGGTTCCGGATTGATGCAACAACAGAGTGTCTACTAAACAGTGAAATACCGAAATATTTAAATGTTAGCGAGCGGTAACGTTGGCTTGCTGTGGGCCTTTCTGCTCTCACCTGTTGTCACGGACGCCATGTTTACAAGAAATGTCTGGTGACGTCAGCTACATCCGGACAGCTCGCGCTGCTCCTGTGACGCCACTTCCGACTGAACCACCAGGAGGGCTCGTGAAGTTTTATTTACGGACGCTAGAGAGCAACACAGACCGCAAACTCACACACAACAGCACGAGCAGATACTCATGACCACACTTGGAGGAACACTGTATTTTAGTATAAATATATGGATGTGCTCACATGTGCCCATGATGCTATGCAGTACTATACTACTAATCTACCCAGTATACTACAAATTATTTTACATTGTCTCCATGTTTACCAGCTACAACATTAAAATGCTTTTACATGTATTCATTAGTGATAAAAGCAGAATGATATCATATTTTATAATAATGTAGCCTAACACTGTGAAAGGAGCCATTCTGCATAATGAGTACTTCTTTTATACTTCTGTACGTTTACCTAATTTAAATTTTGCATTCGGGACTTTCACTTGTAATGGAGAATTTTTGGACTAAGATATTTCAACTTTTACTTAAGTAAAGTATCTCAGTACTTCCTCCACTACTGCACATCCAACTTGGACGAGTAGCTTACAGTTTGCTTTTTCTTTTGTTGCAGAAAACACCTGCTGGCTATGGCCGAAAATAACACTGTGGGAGCTAAATAACGAGTTAAAACACACTTTAAACCAGAGGGGAAATATAAAGTCAGGTGATAAAGCTCTATGAGTTCATCACAATGGCTCTTTTCACACACAAACAGTCATAGGATGAGAAATGTTATTTTCTGTCTTGATTGCGCAGTTTGAAATTTTTTCATAAATAGGTTCTGCCCACTTTTGGTTTGCAGGACTTTTCATACTGAGTAAATAGTTTTCTAACATTCTGAAGAACTGTGGCCTTTTCACAACTTTATGGATTAAAAAACAATGAATCAAGAAATTCATTTGCCGATTAAAAGATGAAAATAATAGTGTCAGACTTAAAAATATACAAACACAATCACTTTCCAGAAAAAATAAAGAAATAATAATAAACACTTGGATAAAAGTCCAAAGAGTGCAATGAAGGTCAAGCATTTAAAAGTGAGAGACATTTACCTTATAATATGTCGTTTATTTATGTAATATCTTCACAAATTGGAAAAGAATGGCATTTGGTCAAATCATCATTAAAGGAGACAGCCCACCCAGCTTTTGCAGTCTAGAAACTGAGAAAAACTCTCTACAATGTAAACTTTTATAAGAGAGCAAAAAGGGCCAGAAGCTGAAATATGGACACAGAAAGATCAGAGACTTTCAAAAAGAGACAGTGCAAATTTGTCATACAATTCGGTCATTTTAAGTTCAAATTAAGTTATAAAACTAAGTAAACAGGTATTATAGTGTGCAGAAAAACTAAATTATATGCACTGAAAAAATAGACAATTTGATATTAGAGCACCTTCATGAAGTTATGTAATTATCTATACGCCCTAAATAATACAGTATATGTCTTTTACGTTTTACAATGTCACATCTAGAAAAAAAGTTTCTTTGGGCTTTTAACTGTTGTAACTTCAACATATCTTCTTTTTCCAAATGTGACAAAATTGCAACTTTTTTGTCCAGACAAAGAAATACAGAGTAAATAAAGACAAAAAAAAAGATGAAACATTGATCAAAGGAATGGATCAGAAAATAAGCATTGACTTTTTAAATACCTTGCTCGTGTTTCTGCACATCATTAACAAATGAAAAATATTTGTTCAGGAAGATCAAACCCAAATGTTGCAATAAGTATTAAGGATAACGTTTAATATTGTAACAAAAAATGATAGTTAAAGCAATATATCATCACACTTGACATAAAGTAGCAGTCAGTTTGAGCACTGCATGATTTGCTACATTATGTTTATCAGAGAGGATAACAAGTATTGCATTTCATACCAGGGAATATATGGAATGTAGAGTGTATATGGGACTTGTGGAAAAATAGAAATACATACTGTAGCAACATTCACCTCAATAGAAAAATAAGAAAGCTCTTGTTCAGATAACACTAAGGTAGCCATTATAAAGTACAAGTAATAGCAGGCAGTTTCTCTGTTTTATAACTGCAGCTAAATATTTCTCTTTTTTTTTTTCAGCAACCCAATTGTGATTCCAAGCTTACAGGAAAAATGATGTAAAACAAATTCAATGGAACCCAAGGCAAATAAATTAGATGAAAGAATGAGTCTACTATGTTGTGTGGTGATCTGGGGCACAAGTGTGGAGTGCAAGTACAGTACGAGGGCCCTCTGAGATCTGTTTATCACACTTAAAGATGTTGCAGGCAATTAATATTAAACCATAATGAAATCACAGAGTGATTACTGGGCTCTCGGAGCTTCAGCTGCTGGGAATTCACTGTGTTATTGGCAGCCATTCTGCATTAAACATCCTAATGAGACAAGCAGTGTGTTCATTTGTATGGAGCCTCAGCAACAGCAATGTGTAACCTTCTACCATACAATGTGAAGCACTGCCTTGCCATCATACTATAAGTAGCACCACAAAAACCTATATACATGAGAACTATTGAATATGTTTTATGCTTATTCTGACGACAGAACATATTCTCATCACATTTGCATTTTGAGAGAAATGAAAAGCCTCTCCGACATCTGTACAAACACAGTCCTTAATCAACATTTAAAAAATTGAGGTCTGCCCATCGTCTGACCACCAAGAGCCACGTTTAGACCATTCATTTAGCCATTCTTTTTAAATAAACATGTTTATTTATTGAAAATAAAGCTTCTTATCCAGAAAATACAATCACAAGAAATATTAATCTCAATTCGACAACATATTTGTTTGAGTACAAGAATGGATTAACATGATAATGTTCATATGAAGGCCAAATTTGCGGTTGTCCTTTAAACACACGTTTCAGTTAGGAAATAACAATGTTATTAAGTGATATGTTTACACTGCACAGAAATGCATACTTAAATGAAACAGTTAAGTCATGTTGTATTCTGAACACTTTTAATATCTGTATTGACATTCAATCACACTATTTTTTTTGCCCTCATTTTGCACCTGCTAAGGATCAAGTGGCATTAAGGTGTCAGTAGCTTTGGGACAGACCTCACAGAGAAAAAACAAACAAAACAAAGGCATTATCACAACCTTCTAACATCGTAATTATAAACGTACATTTAATGTAACTTGGATAGTGCTTTATATTGTTTATAAAACATAAATACACCTTGAAAGATGCAGTGACATCGTGCTTCATGGGACAGGGCAGTACTTTAAATTCATTATAGTTTTTTTTGTGTTCCTTTAGAAAAATATTTATTTTAAAACTAAACCTCAGTAACATTTTATCTTGTTCTTCATTGACAAAAATATTCCATTAAAATCTGCAGACATTCAAACTTTACAATCATGGTACATACACTTATATATACATGTTACCTGTATATATGTATGTGCATATAGATTTATAATTCGGTTTTTTTTGTAATGCACAACATGCCTCCAAAGTTGCCAAATGAAAATACAACAAAATAATGAAACAATAGTTACGATGCAATAATAATAGTAACAGTAATGACAAAATCACCAGATAGAAAAAACAAAACAAAACAAGAAACGGCAACAGTACAAGTGAAAGCAGAGGTCAATGCAAAACACACAAACAAACGTAAACATTAAAATATATAACAATTCTCACTCAAACATACAGAAAACAAATTGTACAAATTCACAGGCAAAGAGAGGACGCTCACTCCGTGACATCAGCCAGCATGTTCTCCCCTTTTGTTTCCAGGTCTTGCTTTGCGCTCACTCGCCACATCAACCTCAATAAAGAAAGAAATAAATGGACCAGGGGCCTCAGAGTGGACACACTCACAATAAACGCACCCCCACCTCGTCTCCGCTGAGAGGACAGGGGAGGTACAGAGACCACTGAGCCCAGATGTTTAGAGGTTGTCTTTATCACAACAAAAAGGTCCCTCCTCTAAATAAAGGCATTGCTTCACATCCGATTGATTCCGAGCAAAACACAGAGCTGGTGTGCTGCAACAAAACGTCTGTCTTCAGTTCAGAGACTTGAAAGCGATGGTGTGAATATACGCATGTAGGCCCGGGGTGATGAGGCTCTGTGGTATGGAGGTGGTTTTACTGATGCCACCCTTCCACACAGTTGGCAAGAGCGGGGGTTTTTTCTTTCTTTTTTTTTGCTTTGTTTTTAACATTTGGCTCTTTCTGCATTTTCAACATTTGGTTCGGAAAATGGGTGGTTATGATGGGAGTCATCCATCACCTCTCCATTTGAGTCTGTCCAGCTTGGTTTGCCTCCCTTCCTGGTAAACCTCTTCCATCCTCACTTGTAACCGGCCTCACAACACAAGACGTGTCTAATTTTCATTGTGTCAACATCGAGAAATGGCTCAGCAGAAGACAGTGGCATCCGTCTTGCATTTTGCATTCATCAATTATGTGTCTATGTGCATAAGTGATGCTATTTAGCTGCTGTTCACTAAAGATCCGCTTTGAGCAATGCGCTCAAAGAAAAGGGTCTTCCTTATGGGAGTTGTGTCCATGTCCATGTCCTTGTATTTTGGGTGCAAAAGGGCGTGTTAGTTGGGCCGTCATTCACTCAAGGTCCCATGGGTTGGAGGGGGTCTTCGGGCTCTCGGGGGTCGAAGACTTCAGAGAGAGGGAGAAACACAGAGACAGAAGAGGAGAAACAAATGGGCAGAGATGGGTCGCATGGCAGGTAGGCAGACGACAGAAGAATAAAAAAACTAAAGAAAACAGAGCGGAAAGCAGAATATTTAGTGGAGACTGCGACACTCGGATCCCCAACTTGCCAAGTCCAAGCAGCAAGATGAAGAAGCAGAGGGAAGTCGAGCAGATGAGAGGTTAGAGGTGAGCGAGAAATCAGCGGTCTGTCTCCCACAAAAGACCCGAACAAAGTGTCCTTCTTGCCTATTTCTGATTTGCACAAATACATTCAGCGAGAGGAAGAAGTGAGAAAAGGAATGGAAAAGGATGAGAGCAAGAGCACTGGAAAATTCAACCGACAGAGGGAACAAGGTGGGGGCACTGGTGCTTGTTGGAGTGTAAAGTTGGCTTCTGGTATCTTACTCAATGTACTGTTAGGTTAACGATTGAGAATATTCATTTTGAATTCATCTTTTAATTCAGAGCACTCACGATTTGCAACTTGGACATGATTTTGTAACTCAAGTTTTTTTTCACTTATCTTGTCCAGTTGCAGGTATTCTCATAATACAAAACAAGATATGATTTATGTATCGTTGTCAACGGTTAGATCCAATGTAACTATTTGTATGGCTCTTGATTGGAATGCATGAATGTGTAAACTTTAACCCAATCAGAAACGAATGATTGGTTCTTTTCTCCCAATCTGTGAGACTGATCGGTACTCTGCATGTACTTGCTTCAGCCTCTACTGCCGACAAGCGTAATGTATGTGCTTGTTGATATGTGTGTGCGTGTGTCTGTTGGTCAGTCAGAGTGCCAGCAGTGAAGGAGAGTTCAGGGAATCAGAAGACTGCTCGCTACTGCTGTTCCGCTGGTTGGCACTGACCCCGCAGGCTCCCTCTGGGTAGGTGAACACAAATGAAGATGTGTATGAGGTGTTGTAGCTGCCAATGGCCGCATCGTCATGGTTAACACCACCACCACTGTCGCTGGCCATGTGGCATGGCCCGCCTGGTGCCGCCTCACTTGAGCCATAGAAAGAACGAGAAAACTCTACCTCCTGCATCATCCCTGGCTGAGGCTGCTGCTGGACTTGCTGCTGAACCGGAGGCTGGGACTGTGTGGAGGCCGGATGGGCTGTGTAGGCAGGAGGCAGATAGAAAGAGTCCTCGTTCACAGCCAAGCCCAGAATGGAGACAGGAGGTGGTAAGGTCTGGGGAGGGAGCTGCGCTGAGCTGTGCTGAGATTGGTCCTGGTATGGGATCTTACAGGTCGGCTGGTGGGCCACCAGGACAAACTCCAGACGCTCCTTCTCCTTCTGCAACTCAGAGATCTCAGCCTCCAGCTCTGCCTTCTCCTCCTCCAGTACGTCCGTTTCCTTTTGGCAGGTACAGAATGACAGAAACATGGACAGAGGGACAGTGGAGCAAGAGACAGGTTGGTGAAATGAGTAGAGGAAGGAAGAAGATGTGCAGCAGAAAGAGAGAAAAAAGGAGTGTTAACTACACCAAAACCACTACTTGAGATTTTGTGGAGGTGGATGTATTCATCCCAGCAGAAATGCCTTCCTCACCTGCAGTTGGATAAGTAAGGTGGTTTATGTAAGAGCCCAATAATTAGGCCATAAATATCGTAGGTACAGTAGTCTATCTTGAGGACTATAATTGTCTTCACCACAGCTAAACCCCATTACAATAAACCATAATCTTACACACATGTACACATCTAATAACACACACTGCAATGCTATGGGAGGTAACCTAAAGTATGTAATTATGATCATTACTCATTCTGCTATAACAAGGCCAAGCTCACCGACTGCAGTCTGTCTGTAAGGTCTCGTCGTCGGTTTCTACATTTGGCGGCAGCCAACTTGTTTCTCTCCCTCCGAACACGTCTCTTCTCCTCCTCCTCTGGTGTTAGCTAGGACGAAGAGGAATAAGACGAAACAGATTAGGATAATTGTGTTGTCTGTGTTCTTGAAAATGTAGTCATATTGTCCACGCTGCAGTGAAGGGGGTGAACTAGATGGGCAATCAGGGTAAACATTTTTTTAAACATTTTTTTTGATAAGTACCCATGCCACTAAAAGTATTTGTGCACACCACTGCTGAACAGCACAGTACACAGTAGTTGGATCTGATACTTTTGGCGCCCATGTAAACAATATACCTACACTTCAATGTAACAAGTCAACAAACAAACCGTTCAAGCACACACACTTACTAACACACCAACATCTCCATCGTCACTCACAGACTCGTCTCGTGTACGGCGGCTGCGGGTTCTGGACTGGCGGATCGGGCCCGGAGCTGGGCCTGGATTGTCCGAACTTGGAGAGGTGAATGCAGACCCCGAGGAATAACTGGGGCCTGGCATGTCATATGGGTCAACCAATGACATTGACTGGGTCATGGTCGTGGTACCAGTGGACCCACTCTGCCCAGAGGCCTGGGAGGAGACGAGGGTCGGCTGGACCAACCACTGCAGATCCTGACTGGTGGTGATGGCGGTGACGGTGGGCACGAATGAACCGGGCATCTCTGCTCCGACACTGGGCCCTGGCACGCTGCCCACAATGCTCAAGCCAGCTCCCGCTGACACACACTCCTGAACAAAAACACACCATGTAAAGCCACTGGTCAGTAAACAGACAAACAGAGGCAGAAAAACAGACCGGAACAAGCTTGGATCAGCTGCTTTCTCAAAGTTTTTGTCAAATTTAATATAACCTATTGCAGCCATCATGCCAACCTCATAGGCAGAACTTTATATACAACCAAGTGCTGCCATCAAGGGTACATTTTTTTTAAATGGACTGCATTGTTATTTTAATTAAGGTCATATTTTGAATTGCAACAAACTACAATTTCTTGTCAAGATAATTGGCATGACAAAACAAATTTTTGTTTTTTTTAACTAATAGCAATATCCTTGAACTTTTAATTTGATGCACATAATGATTCATGTAGTCTATCACAAATGCATTTACAGGTAACATACATGTATCATATGATTTCCAAAAGTGTGGAAAAAAAGTTATTCCAACCATCTAAGAAGAGGAAACATTGGAAACCGTACAGCGTACAAGTATACGAGCGAAGGAAAAAAAACAGCAGCCCGCTAAATTAAGTGGAGCCTGAATCTTAGTTTTAAATGTGCTGTTGCTGTGTCACAAATTGTTGTATGTATCACGATATGAATCCACAAAAAAAGCACATATCTGTCGCGTCTTTCTTGTTTTAGTTCAGAGCCGGTGAGGACGTGATCGAGCGTCATGAATATTCATATCAAGAGTGAAAAGACACCGGGACAGGCGGCTCTGAAAGTGTCCGCCTCGACCAATCGTTTCTCTCACAGAGAGTCCCCCCCCCCATCTTCCTCCTCCCCCGTCACACCCGCGGTGTTCCCCTTGGCAACGCGACGGAGCACTCCAAAATAGAACAAGCATTTACGTCACGGCAAGGCCAATGAGGGGAGAGCGGAGCGCGTGGAAGGAGAGAAGCGGGGAGGGGCGGGGCCTTGGCGCTTACGTAGGAGAGTTCCAGCGCCGTGTCATCCGTTCTGCGGCGTGCTGTAAACTGAGCACGTTGTCACAGCCTGAGGGCTGCTACCAGGGTTACCACAAGCAACAGATAGCGGTACATTCATATTGAATGGTTGATGTACTTTGCGACAATATTTATATCTGATCGCAGAATAAACTTAATGGTTTACTTCACGCGCGGCTCCAACATGACCAGCCTCCGATAAAAAAAAATGAAGTGCCATTAAAAGTCTCGGCTATAAGAGTCATATTTCAGTGCTTTTTATAGACCTATGCATGCTATTTTCTTTTATATATAGTTTCTTGCCTGTATCAGACTAATTTTGTATATTCTAATATAATAGCATATTTTATGCTATGTTGTTTTGCTGTTTATTACCAACATATAATTAAAAATCAGATAGGGTTACTAAACTACCACAAGCAATAAACTCGTGTGAGAAATGTAAGCACATTCATCCTGGACAAATACGAACAGGTCCATCTGTGCTTGTAGGACCATAAGCCAGTCCCTTTTGTATTTACGAATGAATAAACAAAAACAGCTGTGACATTGTTTTTTATGTTTTTGTTTTAAGATACATTTCCATTCATTCTCATTCATTCTTTTAAACTTACCTGCGGAGCACTGGTGGTCGGCGGGCTTCCGAAGGAGTCCACGGAGGAAAGGTACTGTGACTCTATAGATGGAGAGGAGCTTCCACGGGAACCGCTGTCTGGGTCGCCGGAGAAACCTTGGTACATCTCCCCGGAGGGACCGGGAGAGAACGCGACACCTGCAGCAACCAGAGAGAGCGCGATGTCACCTGCAACGGCAGGGCATGTGGCACAAGATTACTAAAGAAGAGCCTAGACTGTGAGGAGAGAATGACTGGTGTTAGGCAGTGCAGTTCACAAAACCCAACTAATAAAGAGTTTTAAAGAGTATAAGCTCTGATAAAAAAAAGTTGGATAATCCCACCGCCTAATTGCTGCGTCTGCATAATTTCGTTGGTCATTGAATAATACTGCTAGAATAAGCAGACTATAGTCTTTTGTGCCTGACAATATTTGATTGAGTTATTTTATGACTCAATTATTTTAGTTAATTTGCAAAAGCAATGTCAAAAGGGAAACATGTCTCAAAGCAGCTCATATAAACAGCCGGACAGATGTTTTTGACCTACTTTTAACCAGCGATTTGTAAGCAATTCATTTCAAACAATACAATCTATATTTACCTACCGTTGCTGATGTTTTTACTATTCCCCTGTGAGGTGCTCTTGGTCTCTTTCCAAAAAAGTTGCATGAAGAAGCTTAATCCAGTTCCCCGCGTCGAGGGGGGAAAGCGTCCCGATTCAATCTGTGAAGAAGTCCTCTCGTTTTGCTTTAAATCCTCGGAGCACTCTCCTTTATCCCCACGTCAAATATGCGATGAGGCTATAGATCCATAAAGTCCGCTGAAGGAATGCCAGAGGACGTTAGCGGGTATTACGGTGCACAGTAGCAGATCTTGTCGTATGAATGGATCCATCCTCCCAGAGTATAACCAGGACATTTCTAGCCTTTAAGTCCCGCCTCGGAGTTCCGCTGACGTACATGCCCATATTTGTGCTTTGGTGGTGTTGTGTTTGGTATCCTTGGTGACGTTGAGGGAATCCCTCTCCCACTGAAATGGACCAGAAGCTCACCTCGCCGACAGATAATAATAGATGTTTTTTGTTTTTTTTAGAATATTACAGGCACGAGGTATTTCTCACCGTCTGACAATTTCTGAGAGGAAATTTAAATAAACTTCAGAGAGATAAATATGGAACGAATCTATTTAGGACCATAAGCGTCTAACCATGTGGGGACATTTTTGTCTATGTCAAGACAGACATTAATATTCCTATTGTATCTTCGCATTTGGGGAGAGTGTTGTTGCGTTCATGTGGTTGAAACTAACGGCACATATGTGAACTTCAACATTAGTTCGCCTCGGCTAAGGCACAGAGGACATAATCCACTCGGTCTGAACATGTTTAACCTATAGGGCTTGAGTAAACACCCGAAAACATACAAGAGCTTATTGCAGCACTGAGGAATCTAAGTCACTCCGGTACGGAATCCCGCCCGGCATACAAGGGAACCCCCGCTGTAAAGTTTCTCACGACACGCCCTCGGGAGTCCTCTGAGCTATAACGTGTAGAGGAAAGGCTCCTTTTCATCTGAGTCTGAACACTCCCTAAACCTGAAGTCAGGCGCAGAGCCAAGTGGTTTTAACAAGCTATTCCAAATGCAGCCAATATTTCCCTTAAAGTTAGATAATTATAGATGTTAGTGTAGGTAAGACTATGTGTCATATAAAATGGTAAACAGCAGTGTAATTCTGTCATGGACGGTGGGCAGCAGTGACGGACATCGGCGCCTGTCACAGCAAACATCACCCGGAATGAGCAGAAAATGATTCATTATTATAGCCTACACGAGGACACAAGTGGGAATGTGACAAGGAGGGGGGGGGGGATTATGAATGAAATTCTTAAATGGGCTGTCAGGGCTATACAGCAACAGGCGATGTGTGAAAAGGCGTGAGCAAGGGAAGAGTTGGGGATAACAAGTTATTAGTCAGCGCTTCAACAACGTCAGAGACGGAGGAAATCACGGAGGACGTTGTGTCCCATCCGCGCTGCCGTTATCGGTGCTCTGCTGCTGAACCGGGATGACTAACTCCGTCGATGTAAGTTGTTGATGATGGGGAATTATTGAGGTGAATGAATATAGCTGATAACGCAGGCGAACAGCCCACATTCACGGGGGAATGCACGATAACAGCGAGAGGGCAGGAAGACATCACGGAGAACTACTGACTAATATACCGCGATTTCATCTAATAATTACACAAATTGACTTCACAGAGACACAATTAAATACTGTTAATACTCTTCAAACGTCTGCGTAAAAAAGAGCTCATTAAGAATAAAACAAGTAACCGGGACCACGTGCTATCGCCGGGTCTGCTGCATGTGTGTAGCGTTCTGTTGCCATGGATATACCGTTGCCTCTGACGTGTAAATTTGGTCTTTTTTTTGTTATGCTGCCTAACAACCGGTTTCCGTGGTAACCGGCTCTGAGTGACAGACAGCAACAGCGCCACACAATATGGCTTCCGGGTTCTTTCTGTGCAGCGAACGAGCAGCACATCTGAGGATACCGCAGCGACTGTTGTTGTTGTTTCGGAACAGTTTAACCGTCAGCGGGTGTTGCTTTTAGCGTCGTAACGTCGGGCACGTACGAGGAGCGTTATGTGCTCGTTTATAGCGTTTACAGTTTAGAGTCGTGTCCCCGTCTCGTGTCCTCGTCGTAGCCTGTAAAATGCAAATTGTGCGCACGCTTAGCAACGGATAATATACACTGAAATGCACGTGTTGGTGCTCTTGTAACCGCTAAATGAGTAGAACAAGCAGACTATTTTAATTTAATGTAGCTAATAAACGGATTAAAAATCAAACAAGGCGAGTAAATAAGCCCCCTTTTTTTTGATGGACAAGTGGCTCAGCAGCTGAAATGTTGTGGAAAGGTGGCAGCAATTAAGTTGTTATCTTTTAAATACATTGAGCAAATTTTAACCTAATTTAATAAAGATACTCCCACTGATTTCAGAGAATCCTCAGAACAGAATACAACAAACAAGAAGTCAGTTGAACTGTATCAAGGGTCCGAACAGTTTGTCAATTCCAGTTTATGTGAAAGTTTTTTACGTTGTGGGTAAAATACAGATTACAGTGAAACAGTGTTACAACTTGTCTCCTTTTTTATGTCTCATCACAGGCTATGTGTAGGCTACCTAAACCACTGTACTAGTCATCAGTACATTCAGAGTGTGCACTCCCTTATAGAGTTTAACTGAGACTGCAATCCTCTCACTAAACTCTTTTGTTCCTTGAGAGTTTGTTTGTGCACATGTTGTGGTGGTCTAGACTCCGGCCAAGCCAGGTCAAAAATAGACCCAGTGTTGTCTAATGCCCTGATGTGCTTTGTTTTGCTTGCCCCTGTCTCTTAGCGTATTTTCGGGAAGCCACTAACTTGCACTGTGCTCATGAGTCCAGCCCCTGTTTCCTTTTGGGAGGCGGGCCGTGTCTTCCTTCTCAAAATATTTGTTACCAGGCAACGGTTAGGCCTGTCCTACTTCAGACTGGTGTTGTTTACACCCCTTTTGGCTCTGTATCCCAACAACATTGCATAAGTCTCACAGGCTTTCCCCTCCTCACTGAGAGAAATATGATCGGCCTTTTCTCTCCAGCCAATCAACATGTCTCATACCCTCATACCATAGTTTTTCCCTCAGCCACTCAACAGTTTTCTTCGGTCTTTCTCTGCTGTATTCACTCGGCGCTGTTCTCAGCGAGTCAGAGCAACAAAACCGAAAGTTTGTTTATACAGAATATGCTTGACTTTCAGAATCCCTGAAGCTTTTTATTACATGTTCTGTCAGGTGGGGGTTCAGGTCTGCTCCATAACCGTTGAATAACACATCTATTCTCGTCTAAATCCAGTAATTCTTTCTTGGCAAAGTTGAAGGCCTGCGTGCCTGTGTAAACATGGCTTGTGTACACTGCATTAACTGAAATGCTTAAATTGAAATTAAAAAGTGGAGCTCTGATTTTATTAATATTTCAGTTCAGATTGAACCGTAAACTTTTGAACTTGGGACATCTTTTTTTTCCATTTCAACAAAGCAGCATGTACCCTTAATATATTTTTCATTATCATTGTAATCCTGATTAAAGTCATGAAGGTGACTTTGAATTGCAAGACAAACACAGACATGCCTAAATATATACATCACCTATAATTAGTTTGCTGGAATTTGAGAATATTAGTTAAGTTAAGTTTTGTTAGAACTTTGTCAATTGCATATGGCAGTTTGAGGTCACAGGTTGTGTTGTGTTGGATTTTGTTATATTGTAATGTGCTCACGTTATTTTGGATCTCCCTGTGTATGTGGCTCCCACACTTGCCTGTGTAGTCTTTAAATGATAGAGTGAAAAGAAAACAAGCATGCTTCACTGCCCTCGGTGTCTGTTATCTTATGAGCAATTAATGAAAAAGTGCAAACAATTGTACCTTTAATTAAGGGCAATTAAGTGCAGTTTCTCTAGTTTTCTGTCTCACAGCTGAAACTGTTTTGTAGTTGTGCCACAAAGCAGGAGGGGAGCTGAGAAACCGTCTTCCTTTTTTTCTTGAGAGCCAAAAAACAAGCAAGCCATGATATCAACCTCCACCTCCTCCTGATTCCCTGCACTGTTCATTGTGTTGTTCAGACAGAATTGGAATTGTGTTATGTACAATTGTAGGGTGAATTAGTTTCATTCCAGTCAGAATTAGCCGTTAAGTCATTTTAAGAATTATTACATGTGAAATAGTAGTTACAGAGTGGAGGAGTTGTTTTATCAATTCGTTTTCTGGTGCCCATCTGGGCACATTTAATCACTGGCAGTACATTAAGCAGAATAATTTCAGGTGTGTGTGAAGCATCCTGACCAGCACCCATGTGCTACAAAATGACTTTCCTATGCAACTAAACTGCACTCTCAATTGAGTTCCAAGGGAAAAGTATTTTCTCTTGGACTACGGTGGCAGTTTAAAACAGTTTGAAACACGTGGTTAATATTGTAATTGAAACAAAGCAAGCTACAAAATTACTTTAAGTTTAGTGAAAAACATCAGGGTTTAAAATGACTACAAAATTGAGCCAAACAAAAATGCAACAAAGGTTCTTGGTTATGTTTAGGCAACAAAAGTATGTGGTTCACACAGGACATGAACAGCAGTCTCCTGGGTGTAAGCTTTGTGTTTTTTGATCCATCTACCACCCAGAGCTCCTTGTGATATGTTAAAAGCAAACATAACCCATGACAAGATACGTTTCCCTCTCAACATAATTCACAATGCAGTTTTGATGTATGGGAACAACATTTTTAGGAGAAAGGGCTGAGCCCTGATGCCTACATCATTTCAGTTGTTCGCCTTTTGATACATAAATGCAGAGAGTCCACTCTGCACTTTCATATATCTCTCTCTTTCTGTTGGATATATAAACTCCTCACCCTGTACTAAACGATGAGTCATTTTATTTATTTAACTTTATTTAATTAGTGACTCTTACTGAGATTAACATCTCCTTTTCAAGAGAGACTTGAGACACATGAAACATTCATGAGACAACCAGCACACATGAGCATCATAAGACCAGACAACTGGCAATCACTTGACCCGTAGAGTTAATAAAACTATTTCAAGAGTCTTAAAAGAGAGTAAAGCTTGGGGGCAGTTTGCAGTTCATGCCATATAAAAGGTACCTGAAATCAGTTCTGCCAAGGTTAGTGTGCACATATTTAAGGTAAGTTATTGGATTGTGAAATATATGAAAGAAAACTATAAGCTGTCGGCCTCTTGTATCAATCTGCTTATCATTTAGTCACTGACCTTGTGACCTAAAGTTAGGAGCGTAACACATTAATTAGTAAATCT